TGGAAAAATGCGCTAACAAACCTAGACCTGGGCAACTCAAAGACAAAAAGATGTTTCAAATTCAGTCTGTGCATCAATTCCATGACCGTCATGACAATGTCTCACTGCACAAGCTGCTTGCTCCTAGCCTAAAGAAGCTTTTACCAGACTTGTGGAAAACTGATGAGATCCAGACCCTGGCAACTCGCTTTCCTCAATCACGCTCTCGCTCTGATAAAGCAGCCGTGAAATCCCTGTGTATTCCATAGGGTGAGTTGCGCACAGGTTTTGGTAGCATACAAGATCAGCGTGCACGACCCCAAGTTTAGAAGTCCAACTTCCGACAATATGGAAAAATGCTGTTGATCAGCCAGTCAAGAGATAGAGAGTCAAGAAATGCGCATGTGCGCATTTTCAGGGCAGACCTGCACCGGGGAACAAAAAGTGACAATTCACTACAAAAAGCTGTTACAGGATCTGCCAAGACACCAAAAATCCATCGCTACAAAATGCTACGCTGTTCTTTATGTGATGAGTACGTGAGCGACGAAGCGTAGGAAGGGAGGAAATGAGGAGCGCCAAAACCAATGGTTAAACGGGAACCCAAAAGAAATCCATCCAATGAAAATGAAAAATCCAAACACAGAGCCAGACCATCGAATCAATGGAGATGAGTGTGAAATCTGAAAATCACTGACCACAAAGGATAACAGCACGACAAATAACAATGAACCAGTTTCGTACAATCTGCAAGTTCAAGAAAGATACATCGAAGAGACAACCAAGTCAAAGCTGAAAACGACTAACATCCAAATCTGTACCGCCATCCAATGAGCAACATCTCAGCCACCCACCCATGGCATTGAACACCGGCCTCAGGAAGACTGGCACAAAATAACTCCACGATGACGCTCGTCCACCGTTCCGAGTACACCAAACAAGACATGCACACTGGCCCTGCTCTTCAGCGCAAATTCCTCAAAAAGCTGGTAGAAAGGTGGTCAAAAAAACGGCTGGCCGATTCCAAACCAGCTTTTGTCCATTGTTGGTTTGAAAGACATGTTGTAAAACATCACAAACTCTGCTGTCTTCGCTCACCTACTCACACACAGCCCTTCTTTTGCTGTTTACACCACTGCCTCTGCACAGCTCAGCAAACAAGAACGCGGTTCCAAGACCGCGAGCATGCCAAGGGCAGCTTGCAATCTGTGCCACCGCAACTGTAGCTTCCTATCTGCTGCAGACTATATCACTGGCTTACCTGGACGACCTCTACGCTATCCACTTGTCAGAAATGAATCTTGAAACAACAGAGATCAACCACCAAAGCCATTCAACCTGAGCCAGATGTTCCTCACTCGGCCTTTTCCCCAGGGCCTTGACCTGCAAGGCCACGATATGAAAAGCAAGAACGTGGGTGAAAATGCAGAATGGAAGGGCTGTCAGCGGGGAATTCAAAATGAAACAAGACCGAGGCTTCTACTTCATCTTCCAGTAATGCATTAGCCGCAACCAGTCCTAAAAGACAGCCGGTCAACCACCTGGCCTGCAAGTCCACGCACGTCTTGGCCTTCCTGCACCTACAGCAACAAAGGTAATCAAAGTTACATGTGATCATCTGAAGCTTTCCCTCCGCAATACGTGAATCTACCCAGCCTGGTCTGGCACAGGCACCGGAGGAGCCGCCTGAGTCAGCACAGACGGCACAATGCATAGCAAGGCTTCTGAGCTTCTCTGGCCTCTTTCGCTTCGATCAACAACTTCAAATCTTCTTTTGACAGCATCTTGGCTGCCTCACATACCACCAACCCATCAGCCTTGGACGAGTTACCTGACACCAGATACCTTGGAATCTTAGAAGCAAATTCTGAGACAGCGCAACTCCAAAAAATGGAACAACAACACATCAGACAACCAAACTACGTATCTCAAACTTGATACATCAGTGTACACACACCAAGGGGGGACACGAAGAACCTGACAATAAGCAATATAGGGTTAAACGTTGCACTGTTTGCACAAAAGATCGCTCTCGCCGTGAACTGAAAGCTTTCACCTTCAGAAGTTTGCGCAGCGCCTTGACCAAACGGTTCTTGCGCTTGGTTGCATTCCTTGCTTCTTTGCGATTCTGCCGCATGGCTTTGCGCAGGTCAGCCTGCTGGCCCTTGAGTTTTTGCAACTCATCTTTCAAGACTTCCTGGCCGGTAATGCGGACCCCAAAATGGAGCCCATTTTGGACTCACAATTCTGAAGCCCCCAAGCAGGGCCTCCCCGGTACGTGCTTCGTGCGCAACCAACAAACCCATCTTTTCAAGACGCGTCTAAGGTCAGTCTAACGTGCGGACTGCATGCGGGTTCCACTGTATGTACTTAGCTGCGTTGCCTTGCCAGTTCACAGGGAAAAGAAATTGATCCAAAGCGCCAGTCAGAAGTGCCGAAGGCACAAGCGGAACGTGAGCCCAGCCAAGCTTGCGGAGCAAAGCAGATGAAGCTTTCTGCTGGCGATCGAAAATTCCATTGCTGTCAAACGCATGCCGCCATGGCTTGGAAGCAAGCTTTGCGATAGCCATGGCAACAATTTCCAGCCAGATTTCCAAAGTGACTTGTCCTGCCAGGGCCGTGGCCTTTCTTTGCCTCCATGTCTCTTGCAAATCATGTTCGAACGCTGCAAAAACGTGACTGTCACAAGGCTGCAGCAAAGAAGTCATCCCTGGAGGAATATATAGAAAACGCAAGCCCAAAGTGTAGGCCAAGTCAAACAAGGAGTCATGCAGGTGACATGGTGCCAAATCTAAAAGCAAGTAAACTTGACGGGTTTCCAGGATTGGTCCAAGTCTGTCACCAAGACAACGCAGATATTTGGCCATCAAGCGCTGCGTGTTCCAAGCAGATTTCTCTCTCCAAACCACTAAATGGGGAAAAAGCTCTGCTGCCTGCTGCACAAATGCAGTTGTGAAGCAACGGGTGTTTCCAAGAAGCACCTGGGGCAAGAGCTGCTGAACTTCTGGATCGTGCGTCACAGCACAAATGTATGTTGCCCTTGCTTTCGCGGTCGTGGATTTGACTTTGTCTGTAGCCTCACGGTCCGAAACCGTGCCAAACAAACCGCTCCAGTGAAAGCCAATGCTGGACTCATCCAAATTGATGACCAAAGGTTCTCGGCTTGCTTCACGCAAAGCGAAGTTGCACCACTGCCAAAAAGCCAACGCCTGAGAAGCCAAAAATTGACCCGAAAATGGCCCCCATTTTGGCGTCCCATTTTCGGCGTCCATTTTTTTGGACCCTAAAATTGCGGCCGCTTCCATATTAAAATAGGATTCTTTTCATTTTGGATCGGCGGCTGCCATTTCGGGGTCCATTTTCTGGACCCTAAAACCGGGTCCGCTTTCTGGCCAAAATTGCAGCACATCATCTGGCTTTAAGCGGCCCAAAAAAACAGCCACCTTGCACTAAACCCAAGACCCAAATCCTAAATTCTCAGCCCGTGCAGAAAAACCACAAACATTGCAGGTTGACAGTCACTTATCAAACTTTGTTTCATGTATTGCGGACACGTGCAAGAAGTTGCGGGGCATTAACAAAACAAAATTGTCTAAAGGTCCCATGACCCATCCCAACCTTGGACTGCTTCTCCTGCAACGGCATTGGCGGACTGGTTCGGAGTCTGCCAAGCTTGCACCCGAACCGCTTTCTGAATGCACTGAAATACTTCCGCTGGCTTCGCGCTGTGGCCAAGGGACGGAGCAGTCGGGCGCTCAACTCCCCAGGCAAATTTTCAGGCATCAGTTCACGTAAACGTTCACATAGCATGCGCCGTGAAGGGGCGACGCCAAATTCATGGTTCATTTTCCGCACCCACTCGCGCAGCTGAAACAAAAGTAAGAAACTGAATGCTGGCAACAATGCACACCTCGGAAGCTGGCTGGAAGGATCCAACATGATCCGAACCTTGTGTTCTAAGGGTGCTTTGATGTAGCACCATTCTACATGCGCCACAGCGCTGTCCAATGATGAGAAAGAGTCCGACATGGAAAGGTGAAAATGAGCAGCAACATCTGCACGATGTCCGGAAAAAATGAAGAGAACCAGGGATTGCTTGTCAACTTTGTCCGCACGAACTTTCTTTCTCTTGGCGGCCCGTCGGAGGCGCCTTTGCAAGTTGGCTATCTTCCTCTGCAGTTCAGCTAATTCGTCGGACATGCTACCGAAAAGAAGAACTGCAGACGCCTACCACAAGAGTCTGAGCCAAGAAACAGTATGCCAGTTTGAAGACAACCGTAAAGCGGCCAAACTTGTACAGTAGCCGTAAACTGTCTATGGCCATCCTACTGGCATACAGAGGAGGTCCCGAGGTGAGACCCCTAAAATTGGCCTAAAATACGGACCCACTTTTAAAGGCCAAAACCAACCTCCAAAAATGCTCTCTTAGAAGAAACCAAACACCCACCGTGCCCAAGGCAAGGCCTCCGCCTTCGACTTAGCTTTGGCGGCAGCTTTAGCTTTCGGCGGCATGATCGCAACTGGTGCCAAAAGTTCGACTTGAGCCAAGGTAAGCACTGCCGTTTCATAATGCCTGGATGGGAACACTTTGAAATCACAGAGCTCGGACATTGGAAAAAACAAGTTTGGCCGACAATCTGAGAGACTGGCGACCGGAGCCATCCACGAAGAACCTGAACCATGGAACAGTTACTGCAAACTGGTCAGCAAACGAACGCCAAACACTGACACACAAAGCCAGGCTAGCTTCAGTCACCTGTTCAATTGAAACCGGTCACAGGCTGAAAGTAAACGCAAACAACTCCTTTTGAGGATGGGACGTGTCATCGCAGGCCTCAACACGTATACAAGCTTAGCAAAGCCACATGAAGGACAAACACCACAGATTCAAACAAAGTTGCAATGATGCAGGACTGCCTTCCTATCGTATCACATGTGTCTGCATAGCCAAACTCATCTGACAAAAGGAAAGCCAAAACCATCAAAACCAACGCAGGTCAAAAATTTGAACTCACATCTTTTTAGCTGGCGCCAAAGTCAAGAACACGCGCAGGCGAACCAATCCAACGCCTTTTGCGGCGGCCGTCCTCGGAGCCATTCCAGACATCAGCAGCTGGAGTCGGTAGGCTTGGCTGACGGTAAACAGGGGCCTCCAGCCAGAGCAACTGCACATTGTTTCGGTTTTGCAACCAGTGGTCAGACTTCAAAGCCGTCAGGTTGGATGCCCCCAAGTCAAATGTTGCAACCACTGCCCTGGAACAAAAGGAGTACTTGTAGCTGTAAACATTGGTGGCCGATCGGGCACCCTTGACAATTTTGGGGCGCCCCTGCAAAACCTCTCGATTCCGCTTGAGAAAGTAAGCATCACCAACTCCATCCAATATGACTCCAGCGTGCTGGCCTCTGTCAAAGTCAGCTAAGTCCATCTGCTCGCTGTCTTCCACTGTGATCTCCAAAAAGCTTGGCAAGTTCAAACAGCCCGCAATGCGTTTGAGTATGTCCACTGCAAGCATGGACTTCCCCAGGCGAGTGCCGCCAACAATGGCAAGGATTGGTCTGCGGAAGCGTGCTGCGCCGTCATGGCAGGCAATGAACTCCTGGACAGTTGCTTCGCTTAAACATTGCACACCCCCACCAAAACCCTGCTATCTGCTATCTTTCATCCGTTTAAACACCCCAGCCTCCACCACATCAAAGGTCTTCATGGGCAAAATGGCTTGTTGCAGTTCACCTGTGGCAGCATCCACTGCTTCCTGCACTCGCAAGTCATGCTCAAACCTTTCCGCGGCGCGGCAATCTGCCAAACGCTTCTGGAAACCCACTGTCACCTGGGCCGCCAAACGCAAATAGACATGCCGCTCAAGCTTCCCGGCCTTCAGCAAGTTGTCCAACCACCATCCTTCCACGCCATAAGCTTGGAAAGGTGGCCAATCACTGAAGTTGAACCTGCAAGTCCAGCTGTCGCCCATTCTCATAATCTGGAAATGTCACACTTCTGCCCGTCTATTAGGAACTTTGGGGTCCACAAAACTGCATTTCTGTACCCAAACCTGCTAGGCTCTGATGCATTTGAGGTTTTCTGAAGTTTTTTGAGGTTTTGCTTGCGACTC